GTGGAAAACGATAATTAACAACTGAGAATTTTAATATGCAGTGATGCATAACTCAATTTGAAAACTATCAATTATATTTTAGATGCTATTTGTAATGGTTTATTTATTTTGGCAGTAGTTGACTTAGATTCCTTAACTCTTAACTTGTTAGCTAAGCTCAGATTGGTCAACACGACTGAAATTCAATATGATTTCCTCTATAAAAATCTAAGATTTACTTTGCTTCGGGTAGTAGTCTGATTCTTTTTTCCGTTATTTATTTAACTATTAAAACATTTTTGTTCAAAATAAAATGTTTTAAGTATATGGCACGTTTTGATACGAGGATAAGACTCTAGTCTGACTCTTTTCCTGTATGTTTTTTATGTATGATCCCTCATTCATTATTCACAATATGTTCCTCTCTAGAAATATGTAGTTTGATTAAATAATTTCACAATAATTCAGTAGTAGCACAAGTAAGTCTTTAGTATATGTGCAAGATCTTTATACTATTTAGTACGTGCGAATAATTTCTATTGAGAATTTTTCTAAACAAAAAAATTCTTGGAAGTTTCTAACAATCGAATTGATAACTAACTATGTCGTGTTTATCTTAAATGCAGATAGTATAAAATAATTCTAGTACGCCATTTTTCAAAATATTCTCCTAGCATTTAAGCTTAAACTTTCCACATCCGACATGGTTATCTCTATTTTTCAACGACTAATCCAAATAGTAACGATAATCTGTCTCTTTTCACTCGTTACTAAATAAAATATTTTGCGTCATATAAAGAGAAAAAATACTTGACAATTATTTACCTGAGGTCTACGAGTGACGAATGAAGTACAGGGTGGTGCAAAAGTCATTTTACTGAAAAAATGAATATCTCCATAATGGCTTGAGCAAACAAACTGATTTTTTTTGTCAGTGATAGAGGCATGTTCAAGCTTTATATTCATAAAGATATGCCTAGAGAAATCTCTTGGAAAATGTCACTATTGGCTTCAACAAAGCATTATTACTTTTTCACATATAGGAAAAAAATGGTATACTTAACAAATGGTTTTTCTAGGCATGTCTTTGTGAATATAAAGCTTGAACATGTCTCTATTATTCATAAAAAAATCAGCTCGTTGGTTCAAATCATAATGAAGATATTCAATTTCTTTTTCGGTACAGTTAGTTTTGCGTCACCCTGTCTTTGATAAAGTACATTGTCTTGACAGCTATTTCATTAATAATTAATTAAAATAAAACTGTAGTTTCTCGTAAAAGTACTAATATCAAATATATATCAAAAAAACAAAATGAGAAATGTCTTTGAGTGTAAATGTTAAGTACATAATATCTATCAGAGAAACAACGCATTGATCTCTTTCAGACAGATAGTTATTGAAGAAATCAATTATATATGTATGTGTATATAAATTTAACTTCTTTTAAATGATTTATGAAGCAATTGGCTTCTTTTTATCATATACTCAATATTTACTGTTTGATGATTTTCAAATGGAAATCATATATTGTAAATTCACTATGCACATTAATGAAGAATATTAAATAGGATACAGTGTACAGAAAATGCTTTTATTTTGATTTATGTAACACTTTAAGACTATTTATAGATATATATATATTTATATATATTTTGTTATTATTATTGATTAATTGAGGATGCCATAAATCTTGTCATGAAATCATCAGAAAGAGAAAATTGATCTTTATGGTTAATTCATATGTACGCAAGAACATGAAGCTCATACGCAGTAAGAGGCTAAGAAGAATGTCAGAATGCATACATCAATAGAAGAAGACATTATGAATACATAATCGAGCAGTGAGAAATCGATATGTTTCTTTTGGATCGTAATGTTAAAAGAGATCCACATGAAATAATGATCAGAATAGTTTTTCACGTGCTTTTAGTGTCTTTAATCATTTGTTTAAGTACGTTATTTTAGAATAGAATAAATTGTAATTAGAAAACTATTTGATAACGAAGTTTGATAAAAAGTTTACTAGCCTATCCAGATTTGACTAAGCTATCAAGTTTTCAATACGTCTGATTTCTAGTGACCCCATATTTTCGAAAAACTCGTATATGTCAATTTTGATCTGAAACTCTGTGCATACAAAGCATTCAACTAGGCTACCCCTCACAAAAAAAGAAATCAACAACTTTGAACAGGATCTCCTGAACATATGCGACTTGCAAGATATAAGTCCTTTTTCATGGATATAACATGCATTTGTTGAAAGCTTTATATTTCGAAGAAACTTCATTCAAAACTTCTGAATTTTTCTATGAAAGCTAGTCTAGTATAGTTTTATATGTGCTATGTTTCATATAGAAAGACGAGCTTTCCAAAAAACTGAAACCCATAGAAAATATACATATTAAAATTTTGATAGCTTAGTCAAATCTGAATAGAAAATCAAGTCTTTTTTTAGAGTATTTATTACAACGCAATATATTATCTAAAGGCAAAAATGTCATTGGAATTAAAAGAGAACACCGGAAGAGATTTCTTGATTAGCATCAAAGATAGGTAATTCAAATCATTTTTTGACTTGAGCATTGTTTTTAGAATTCTTGTTTTGATTTTTGACTTGGCTTGTAGAACCAAAGCAAGAAAGTAAATGCAGTTATGTGATTTATGCAGAATATATAGTCATTTTTTATTTGCATCACGTCATGTTGAACTTGACTTGTCTTGAAATGAAGCAGATCATGACTTGCTTTGAAAAATTTGCTGATGATTAATGACTTGTCTTGATTTGACATCATTTTAATCATAAAAACTTCTAGCTTGTCTATATATGCTTTGTTTGATTATAATTCTTTTTATTAATAGTTATTTAATGAAATGAATTCGTACAAGATATTTCTTACCGATAAATCTGCTTTTTGTCATTTTTAAATTACAATACGATCTGTCCACGTAACCGGTCCACCTATTTCGGCAAAGTCAGAAAAATGCGAAATTCATGCTTTCATTATATATTTTTTACGTTGTTAAAAGGATGATGTGAGACTTTTTCTTAATTATTCTTTCAGAAATATTATCAATTTATTGATTTCAGAGAAACTACAATTAACTTTCTATAGAAATAAACGTTGATGAAAGTATGCCGATTTTTAAAAGCACTATTCCGTCACGACAATTTTTTCTACATGTGAGATGAAGCTACCATATATTTTGAATTGTTTTTTTTTCTATGTATAGCTCATCATCTCAGCTACAACTTTTCTATAGAAAAGGTTTTAATCACACTTGTAGATGGTCTAAAATTTTTAGTTCTTCACACACCACTGAAATTCAGAGTCCATTTTTGGTTCTTCCGTCACGGGCATGCATTTCAGTCATAAAAATGCAAAAGAAAGACGAGAACTAGTGAAAATTTTATGCTGTGTAGGGCAGTCCGACTTATATATGTTTTCAAAAAATCAGCCCTATAATAGTTCAATTTGTTGATATATTCCAGAAATAAAGTGAAAAAAAACGTTATTCCATCAGGCTTGGACAGATCGAATAGTAATTTTTTTGCAGGTACAAGTTCTTTTATTGGATAACTGTAGAATAGAACTATGTTTGTATCATGTGCGTAAAAAAAATTCATCAATATTGAATTTGGTGTATATTCAATAAAATAAAAGTTTATATTAAGTTATTCTAGAAAATTTAGACATCATAGGAGACAAAAAACAAAGGTTTCACTATATAGTAGACAAAGAAAAAGTAAAAAGAAAAAGAAAATAACATAACATTTTGAAGACTCGTACTAATATATATTCTCTTACTTGACAAGAACAAGAAAAAAGAAATTATTAGTAAATTATTATAATAATGATGAATAAGATGTGAGGCAAAATTAGACAGTTGCTCTGTGCACGAATGCACTTGAAAAATTACGTCGATTATTTATTGATTATATGCCATTTGAAAAACTTGACTATATAATGGTTAATTTTTGTTTCGACACTATCTTTTTATATTCTTTATCTAAATATGCTTGTTTATTGTAAATTTTATTATACATACATAAGTACTGCACAAACTTTTGAATCTTTCAAATTAAGAATATTTGATAAAATTATTTTGATATTCTTTTTCTTTAAATAGTAATTTTAGTTTTTATTCCAATTGAAAAGAATCATATGTACAAATTTTTTTCAACGTTCAATATCTTTTTAGAAAACTTCTATGATCAACATATATTTTTATCAATCTATCATATATTAATAAATAAATCAAAAAAAAAGTTGGAAGTTCTATATTGTTTATATTAGATTTGTATACATGTCAATATCAATTCTTTGAACTAATTATTTTAATTGAAATTTAGTCTATTCTGTTAGTTGTTTTAATTGAATTTCTTGATTTACCCACATTTGAAAAATATAAGAGATAAAATAGAAAAATGAATTAATGTCAGATTTCATCTACTTAATCGTCTATAAATAATCATTTTTTACATTCATTCAGAATTTCTTTCATAGTTTTGCTCTATTTTCTGTAATCAGTCGTCGAATATTTGTTCCCGTTTATATAAGAAAGCAAGAAAAATAAAAACAAATATTTTCCTCTCACACTCAATATTTAATATACCAAGAATAAACAATATTTTACTATAAATTTATGCGTAATAAATCTATTTTTGTCACACCTGAAGTTTAAAAAAAAACAAAGAATTCATTTGATAATCCATCCTCATATTTCTTCAGATATGATGTAGAATACATGAATTAATTTCCGTTGTTCCTGAGAACTGATGTGTTAATATTCATCACGGATTTTTCTCTTATCATCATATTTCAGCGTAGGCTATAAAATCTAGATCATCGTGAATAAAAGAAAACGAAGAAAAAAAAAGAAGAAAGAAATATATTATCTAATGAACATATGAATACTCCTTTTTTACTCTATGGTTTGCAGATAATAAAAAAAAGCTCATTCTACAGAACGATTTGGTTACCTTTAAGTTTAATTAATAAAAAAAAAGATCTTATCATATGGCATTTCCATCCAATACCAATATAATTAATGTCATGAAACCATCATGGGTAAACTTCATATTTGAGAGATAAATATTTTATATATTTATATGTATATATATTAAAATATATTTATAGATAACAATACCAACTGAACTTATTGGCTCATTACCACGAACAACGGCGTTATTAGAAGGTCAACAAGCTTATAAAGCAGGTCATATTTCTGAAAATCAATTGGAGAAATTGCAAGATAAAGCAATACGACAAACAATAGCTGAATTAGAAAAAACTGGACCTGGTCAAATAACTGATGGTGAACAAGCTAAACCTTCATTTCTTGTTTATCCGTATGTATTTATTCACATATCTAATATTTACTCTTCTTTCTATTTTATAATCATTTACCATATTTCTTTCAAGTAAACATTCTAAACTTGAGAGAGACATTGACATTTTTGTTTTTGTCTAATGATTTTCTAACAAATAAGACATGCTCATGCACTTATAGCGATTTACTTCAAGAACTTTCAGCGAGAAGTGTAATCTATTTAAGGATAAAAGCTTATTAGTTTTCTTTTATTTTCTTTTGGTATGTACTCACGCAAAACACTCACTAGATTATGGCTCAAATATGATTT